TGTGTGTATGTGTGTGTGTGTGTGTGTGTGTATATATATATATATAAAGTAGTATTTTAAAAAATCTAATTGACTAGAAGGCTACAAAGATTTATAATAAATTAAAATATTGACTAAAAAAATAGAATAAAATTTATTAAATTAGATTCAAATGATGTTTTAATATAAATAATAATTTTTAAATCTTGCTTAAACACTTATTGTCTTATGTCTTATGACTACATGATTAGGGTTGTTAAAAGTACTCTTTTTTCGTGAACAGCTCGTGTTCGGCTCGTTAAGCAAATGAGCCGAACACGAACACACTTTTTAAGCTCGAAATATAAACGAGCCGAACACGAGCGAGCATTTACACCCATAATCCTAAGGTTGCATGATTAGAGTTGTCAAACCAATATTTTGTTCGCGAACAACTCGTGTTCGGCTCGCTAAGCAAATAAGTCAAACATGAACATAAAGTCAAACATGAACATACGTTTTTTGTTCGAAACACAAACGAGCAAAATATTTTTTAACGAGCTGATTTAATAAATCCAAATTTACGTCGAAAAATTCAAAGAATAGGAGGCATAAGCTTTAAAATTTGTATTTTTGGTGCTTCGTTAAATCCGTGCATAAATCCCACCAAAATGAAACGCACATTTTCATGCCCCAAATTGTTATAAATATAAATATTATATTTTAGGCCAGATATGTAAATATATGAGAATTTTATGGTATGATTGTAAATTTCTGAGTTGTGGGGAAAGGAAAGAGTATTTTCGGAATATCAGAAGACAGAAAATAAAATAGGAAATAAATAAAATCTCGAGGAGACACGAATTTTTCCGATTTTTCCGGCGGTTTTAGAAATCCTATAAAAAAAAGCAATTTTTCTGTTCCACAGTCTCTGCAACTGTCTCTCTCCCCCCTTCCCCCCACCGCTCTCTCTCTCTCTCTCTCTCTCTAATCTCTCCTGCTCTGTTCTCGTTTACGACAGCGAAGAAGTGGGGGCAGAGATTTCAAAGTCATCGTCTTCTCCAGTCCGATCGGTTTCTCTTCTGCAAGGTTTTCATTTTTTTTGCGGTTATGAAGAAAGAAATTTCATACCTTTTATCTGTTTTCTATCTCCTCTTTCATCTTCTCCATCCATGGATTTCACAAACTCACGGCACTGCGATGAACCCTTCATCTTCGCTCATAAAAACCAGATTTTTTTTTCAGAGATGATCAAACAAACCCCAATAGTTTGAAAAACAGAGCAAGCGATGGAAAGAAACAACATCCCCTTAACCAAACACACTGTTACTAAAATCAGAGTATCTTCAAAATTCATCGAGCAATCCTCCGCTGGAGCTCCGGCGAACTCTTCATCTTCACTCCCCCGCACACTCCGCATACTCTGCAGCGACCCCAACGCCACCGATTCCTCCGACGATGAAACCCCCATCGACCGCCGTCCGATTAAACGATACATAGAAGAAATCAGATTCGAAATACGTCCGCCTCCGAAGATGAACGGAAAGAAGAAAAAGCAGAGAAAACAATTGCCGGAAAATCTTCCTCGGTCGCCGGAAAAGCTTCCGAGATTCCGCGGCGTCCGGCGAAGGCCGTGGGGGAGATTCTCGGCGGAGATACGCGATCCCGTTCGCCGCGTGCGGCTATGGCTCGGCACCTACAGCACTGCGGAGGAAGCAGCCATGGTTTACGACAGAGCTGCAATCAAATTACGAGGCCCTAACGCCTCCACCAACTTCCCAAACCTAGCTTTTCCGGCGAACTCCGCCACCTCAACGCCGGCGAACATGAACTTCCCTTCTTCGAGTGGATACGAATCCAGTGAGGATTCCCGTAACGTTTCAATCTCTTCCCCTACGACGGTTCTCCACGGACTCTCTTCTGATGTTGTGGAGCGTGAAACGGAGTTGAAGGATGACTTCAATGCGTTCGACGGAGTGCTCCAATGTAATGATTTTTTAGGGGATGACTTTATGGTGTTCGACAGAATGCCTGACTGGGGCGAGTTTATGAATGCGGAGTCGTACGGGCCGAGAAGATGCGAAGAGTTCGCCGGCGAGAGAATTTGCGCCGGCGGCGGAGTTTGTGAAGAAGGAGACGATTTATTTGCGGGTATTACTGATCTTTTTCCCCTTGAGCCGTTCGACTAATTGGAAGTCTCCGTGCGTTTGTGATTTATCGGCCGATATATCGGCCGATTTTAGTTTCAGGAGAAGGGAAACTTGTCGAATCGGTTCAGTTTAATTTGAAAATTATTTTAATTTTTTTTTATTATTTTAAATTATTGTTGGTTTTTGTTGCGGAAAATACCGCGCTATTTGTACTGGCAACACAAATTATTAATGTGTGGTATATTTAAATTGAATGCATATTAATGATTTTATTTTGTTTTTAAGAATTTCATCATGGTTTTAAGTAATAATATCCTTTCTAAAAATATTAATATTTACATAGATTCAACTCAATTATTATATATTTACATATACAAAAAACTAAAATTTAATATTTTTATGGTACATTGAGGAAATATAACATTGCATAAAAAAATGCTACCAATATTATTTTTTTTTTAATTGAACGAAGAAATATTTGCGTACGAAAAGTGCACGCAGAGTTGCGTATATTTTAAGTTATTCGGAGGGTACAGTTAGGTTATATGAAAAATTACAAGGAGTTATAATTTAAGTGTGATATAGTTATATACTCCATATGAAAAATTACAAGGAGTTATAATTTAAGTGTGACATAGTTATATACTCCAAATAACCTAAAATGTACGTAACTCTGCGTACGTTTTCCGTACATAAATATTTCTGAAAATGAACGATATATTTTTAGGCTTTGAGTTTTTGACATCAAGGTGTTTTGAATGTAAATATCAAAATTTAGATGGTATATATATATAAATACATAAAAGTGCATGGTATGTGTGTAAATTCCCCTTCATCTTTAGGAGAAATTAAAAGATATGGTTGGTTATTATTTTAATGGTATGCACACGTGGTGGAGGAATGATGGGTTTGACGCTTGGGAGATTACGGGCCACTTTACGCGTGTGAATATTGAAGGCTTTCGAGGTCGTGGGCCCTACATGGGCGGTAAGGATGGGCCCTTTTTATTGGGCCGAAGCCGGGTCAAAGTAGCCACCTGCAAAAAGAAGCGGGGAGATTGATGAAAGACTGAAAATTTGTTTATTTTTGCGACAAAAATTGGGTATTTATGTAAAATGTTTTATTTATTGGGACACGCAAAGAGAGATGAAGCCATGGAAACTTCCTAACATTAATGCAACTCTCCATCCGGCTTACAGCAGCAGATTTCCTCCAAAATCCTGTCGCCGCATCCTGAAGTAACTCATGATGATGCTGAGAGAAGCATTGATTGCTGTTATTTCTATCATTCACTATTTTCAGTGTATCCCAGCCGTAGTATTGTCTGGACATAGCTTGCATCCAAACTCCAAATAGATTTAAATTTCACACCTAAAGTTTAATGATTAATTACAAATATAGTATAAAAAGAACGAAGACCCATTAAAAATTGATTGAGAGTCTGTTTGGCGTAGTTGTGGGGTTGTGGTGCGGCAGCAACCATTTGAATTGTTTGTTTGGTGTGGTGTGGACGCGGTTTATTAAAACGTGCCCGCAAAGTGACGCCTTGATCGGATCATGGATTATTTCGGGTTATTTGGTGACTTTTCTTTTTGTGCTCTCCCTCCCGCTTCCCCTCATCCCGTAAGCGATCTCTCTAGGGCTTCTTCTCCTTACATTCTCTTCGCTTGGCGACACAATTGGATAGGGCTTTATACCGGCATTTGCTTCCTCCTTTCTTTGGTATACTCTCCCTCTCATCTCTTCTTTGTGGATTTGTTCTATGAGTTGTATGGTTTGCACATAGTGATTTTATTTTATTTTATTTTGAGATTTTTACATGTAAAGCAGTGGAGACTTGCATTTTTTTCTCTTTTCCCAGTGGCTAAAACCCATTTTCACATGGAAAACAAGGTATGCTTTGCTATTTGTTTGATAGGTTTGCGAACTTTGGTTGATGTATACTGTTTGTCAATTCTTAAGTTGGTTTTGCTTTTAGGAATGATTACATACTTATCAAATAAGTATTTGTTTGGTCATATTTGCTTCCTTCTTCCTACACTGATTTGTGATATGAGAATGTGAATTTGACAATTGTTTGGAGCAATATATAAACACGCTTTCAGTCCTATTTATTTGGTTAAGCATGGATTGAGATTTCATCCTAATTTTTAATATTTGAGAGAAAACATTGAGAAGAGATATTGGAGGGTTGAGCATTTGTTAACTTGCTTTCCTTGCTTCATATTACAAGGTTCGGTTATTTGATGGTTTCAGGTGCTCTTTTTTTGTTAGGAAGCCCAACACAATTTTTTATGTGCTTACATTTATGATAGTTGAGTACATATTTTGTTGTTTGAGGGATGACGACAGCTGTACTCATGCTTATTTTACTGTTTCACAATGGTTTCCCTACGTTGCTTATGTTGTAATGGCGTTTACCTTGATTTGGTTTTAAGAATTTTGATTACTAAGTGGTTTAGATCTTAACACCTTGAATCAAGCTAAGTTTTGTTTTGATTGGATTTTTCAATAATTGACTAAAGTTGACTTGGACCCAATTAACTTTTGGTGACCCTTGGTGATTTCAATTTCTTAGAGTTGATTTGTTGATGTGTTTAGGTTTATGCCAATTTTAGGGTTAATTAGTATTGAGAAAGCATTAGGTGAGACCAAAGAATGACTTTGGTGAATCACCCCTCCATTTTTCTTTGAATTTTAGTGTCATGTGATTTCCAGGACCATTTAGGTAATGCGGTAAGAACCTCCCATTTAGGTCTTGCCTCCTCTCTGATGGGCTTTTCCAAGGTCAATGAGAATCTCAGGGGTGTTCATTGGGTCATTCGAGGAGTACCTAGTCTTAGGATTTTGAGCTCCATGGCTAACCTAGGGCATCTTCCACCTATAGGAAGTCAACTTGGGTTTCTACTGAACTAGACTCTCAATCATCTCAGCTAAGGGTTGAGGATTTAGGCTTAAACTCAGGGAACCCTAAACGAGTGTTGGATTGGTTAGAAGTCCTATATGGGTGAGTTCCATCTCTAGTCATCTAAAAAGGTCACTTGGAAATGCTAAGGCTAAATCCTGGGTTTTAATAGAGAGAGAAGAGGTCCTCACAAGATTGAGGTCAACATCGGCCAACACTTGTAATTTGATGTTTGGTTGTGGTAGATAAAAAATATCAAATTCTCTCAATTCTACTGATCATTTAACTAATCTTCCTGGTGCTTCTGGTTTTTGCAGGATAACCTTCAAAGGAGTTGTTTGTAGACGTTAATAGTGTGGGTCTAGAAGTAAGGACGGTGTCTCCTTCTAAGAAAACTAGGGTTAGCGCAATCTTATTCGCAATCAGATATTGAGTTTCTGTATCAGAGAGAATCTTACTAATATAATAAACTAACTTTTCAATTGAGATTTCTATCTTTCTACCCTGACTAGGAGAGAGCTTATCGCGTGAGGTGAAATAGTCAAATATCTTGAAAAAGCAAGATATGTCTTGAGAGGAGGAGCGATGAAGCCAGATATGTCTTTAGTTGATCGAAAGAGATATGACAGTCATCTGTCCATTGAAAATCGATGTTCTGGAGACCGTTAAGTATTTTGAAGAACAACAGATACTTATCCCAGAACGAGATAAGAAGTGGGATAGAGTGGTTATACGATCATTCAAGCCTTGCACCTCCTTTACGTTCCTTAGAGTACCATGACTCTCAGCACCTTGATTTTTTTTTGTGTTTGTCTCAATTCCACGATGAGTAACCATGAATCCCAGAAACTTCCCTAATCTGACTCCAAAAGCACATTTAGACAAAGAAGTTAGAAACACTCTTCTAAATGAGAAATGTGTTGGGATGCTTCTATGTTTTTTACTAACAAATCATCAACATAAACCTTCATTGTATGCCCGAGAAGGTTTTTAAACTGATATATTGATATGTTGCACTAGCATTTTCATTCTGAATGACATAAACTGGTAGCAGTATAAAGCCTTTTTTGTTTGGCTTCCTAATGTATCAGGTTTATTTTTATTTGATTGTACTCTGAGTATGCATCCATAAAGCTGAATATCTGGCTGGTGTCTGGACGTGGCATCAATTAGTTGATCTATGCGTGGCAGGGGAAAGTTATCTTTCGGAAAAGCTTTTTTGAGGTCGGTATAATCGAGACACATTCTCCATGCACCACTAGCTTTCTTGACCAAGACAACATTGGCCAACCATGCGGGGTGGTGCACTTCCCTTATGAACTTTGCTTCCAAAATCTTGTTAACTTTTTGTTTGATAGCTTGCAAATAATCTGGGGAGAGTTGCGCTTCTTCTAGATGACAAAGTTAAAGATTGGATCTACCTTTAAAGAGTGCATAATGATTCTTGGGTCAACTCCAGTCATGTTGGCTGAGGTCCATGCAAAAATGTATTGATTCCCTTGAAGATGATCTACATATTTTGACCTTTGTTCATCGGAGAGTAGGGAACCAAACTACAATGTACTCGAGGGGTGCTCATCGGAGAGCAGGACGTGGACAAAGTCTTCCACGTGAGAAGCCCGTTAAGATGCATCTTCATCTCAAAGATTAAAGTTCTCAATGCTAAGTGTCACTTACGAGCATGGCTGGACTTTCCTAAGGTAGCATGATTGTGTTATCTGCTGATCTCCTCACACGATGTCGACCCTGCTAGAGTTAGAAACTTATGCTTCATATGTGATACAGAAGTCACGATGCCAAAGATGGATTGCAGGGGTCTCTCGAAGATGGAATTATATGTTGATTCTGACATGAAGATGATGAACTCAGCTGAGTGGGTTGTCCTTCAAGGAAAATCTCATATAACAACGAGGATATTTATTGTTCCCTCAACTCATACCTATTGATTATAAAAACCGTATAATGATCCTGATGCAGGTTGAAGTCATTCCCTTGTTAGTTTCAAACTGAGGAAAGTGGAGTATAACAAGTCATCGATATAACTCCCATTATTGATCAAGATCCTCCTTACATTGTAATAAGCTTCGTCAATTCAAGTTCTAATGATGAGAGGGTCTTGATGGGGAACTCGAACTCCACCCAAATTAGAATCATCAAAAGTGATAGGCTCGAGGCACAATTTCTCTTG